TTTTTTTTTTTTTTTTTGAGATAGGGAACAAAAAGTTTTATTAATAAAAATCAGTGTACATAAAAAAATGGTTGAATTGAATAAGAAATCCAACCAAATAAAGAAAACCATAATCAAAATAAGTAAATACATAAAACAGCCTAGGTCTCACATGAAGCTTGCCACCCATCAAAATTTTAAAGAGTGGATTCATTTTGAATGCTCTAGTAACCGAAGCCTTGAATGATGCCACGAAATAAATATGGACCCATAAACCTTCCTCATACTCAACTAGTTAACACAGGCATTTCATAAAGACAAATAGGAATGCTCAGATCTTCAAGAAACCATGGCAACCATTGTCATAGCAGAGCATTAAAAGCAAGTAAATATTTGTCATACAGCAAAACCAGACACAATTAAACATTAAAAATTGTATCTCAAAAAAGAGTAATTCAAACACAGTTGCAAGTAAACCTGGAGCTCCAGACTTGGTGTTCCAGTCATGATATGCAGAGTCTTGCTTTTTCTCAACTGCCTCGGACCTCAAAGACTCCCTCCCCAACACCTGGAAAAAAAAAAAAACAAAATACACCAACAAAGCAAATTTGGAAGCTTTTCAAATAATGAAAATCTAAGAGCTTTCTTACAGCAAAATCACAAAAAGAAAATATGAAATTCTACATACATCGTTTATTGAAATAAGATGAGAAAAACAAGGTAGCATTCACAAATACTAAGTTGAACAGAGTTTTGCATTTTGATGAAAACCATGAAAAGGCCAACAAATTAACAGAAAACCCAAAAAAAAAGTACTTAATTCATCTCTTTACCCGACTATTAAACCTCGAATTGAGAAAAACCCTCCGTTTCACTTTTGTGTTCTTACCAAAAGAAACTCATTACAAATACAAATACATAACATGCAATATTTCTTATTTATCTTGCAGATTATAAGAAAAACCAACAGATATATACAGACCCATGTTGAAGAAAATTCATGATAACAGTTTCCCATTAACAAAACTCAGCTACTACCCTTATATGTAGACCAATACCATAAAACGCATGGCCTTCATAAACAAAAATTAAATAAAAAGCTTAATAGGGAACGGAAAAAACTCGTCAGAAATCGAAGGATTCAGTAAAGAAAGTGGTTCAAGAATGCAATACCTTGGAAGGAGGAGGAAAGATTGACCCGAAAATCCCCGAAGATAATGAATTAGGGGAATCCTTTGAACCAAAAAGGTCAGAAGTGAAAGACGATGATGAGGATGATGAACCACCTTGCTTCTCTCCCTCCATTTCTCTCTCTTTTCTCTTTCTCTATTCGTTTCTGAATCTCCCAGTGTAAACACAAATGAGAGTGCCTGAAGAGAGTCTTGTATAAATAACCACCACCCACCGTCAAAGAAGACTCAGATAAAACAAAACAGCCGACGAACTTTCCCAGAAACAAACAAAAATCTCAGAGGTAAACAAAGAGAAAAAGAGAACAGAAACGGAAAAAGAGAAGAGAGAAAACGGAGAGAGAGAGGCACGTGAAGATCGCTGATGTATGAGATAGAGCGAATGAGAGAGAAAAGCAAACCGAAACCGTCACCGATTTATAAGCCTTCCAAACTCCTTCTTTCCTTTCTCTCTCTCTCTGTATACATATCTACAACAATATATGTATGTAGATGTTTCTCTCTCTGTATAACTTAGTTTCGATCTTGTTTGGCCGACGATCTCTCTCATTTGTAAGAATTACAGTTTGTACCCCAAACGATTTAACAATTTTATTTTACATCCTTAAAATTAAAAGTTTCACATAATGCCCTCAATATGTTAGAAGTATTGCATTTTCATTAGCTTTTTTTTGCTCATTTCTTGAATATCAATGGGAAGGTTTCAGAAAAAATGAACAAATAAACTAAAAAAAGGGATATTATAATATTTTTAAAATATTTAGATATAAAATAAAAACATTTAATCTTTAAAAGTGTACAATAAGAATATTTAAAAATTTTGAGGTATAAAATGTGATTCCCCCTCTCTTTTTCGGTTTCAGTTACTCGGCTTTATTTCCTCCTTAAGTCCTACCTGTCGACAATCTAACAGATTTGTGCCACGTACAGAGTCAAGTCCTCTCTGTGGGACCTACTTTCAGACTTCCAACCTATTACTGCCACGAATGCCTAGTGGATAATAACGACCACCAAGCAATGTCCTTTTCATCTCACTTATGTCATACCATTTTTGTTTTTTCTAACTTTGTTTTAATCAAATAATTTGTTTTTTTTTAATTACGAAGTTACGACACAAATTTTGAATAGATGTAATCATGTTTAAATCATAGATGCATTATTTGATTTTAGATCTTATGCATCAAATAAAACAATTGTAATTATAATGGGTAATTCAAGTGATACGAAAAATGAGTTAAAAATTCAAACGTTTTGATTTTGAATCTTAATAATTTTTTGAGATTAGACCATAATAAATTTATTTTTCATGAATATTCTAATCACACCTTAGATAACATGTTTTTGATTGGATTGGAGAGAAAATTAGTTGAGTTATGCGTATATTGGTTCAAATACCTCTTACCGTTAAACCAAAAAAAATAAAAAGATTACAATTCAACCCTTAAAGATAATTCAGTGGTTGAATTCGATTTCTGGTAACTCAAAGATCACAAGTTCAACATTCTTTATATGCACGAAAGGTCAATTACCATTATTTCTAAAGGGATATATTCTACATCCGCTTAGACTATAAGTAACCAGTAATCGAGCTCGAGAGAGTCCAAGACATAAGCCAGTGCACCATGTAACGAAAAAAAAAAATTGCAACTCTTAGCATTTGAAGTTAATGTTTCACCTTTTGTTTCAAACTACTCATCTAACTCAAACGAATTTAGTTGAAAACCAAGCTCCAACTTGTCATGTTTATTATATTAGATATTTTTCCTATGCATTCAACCTAAGACCTAATGTTGCATTTTGTACCCAATAGTATTTTTAATAAGAATAAAATAAATTTAAAAATAGAATTGAATGCACATTATTATTCCAATATTTGATAATAATTAAGATTCAGTGTTGGCTAAAATTGAATATTTATTCCAATGTTTAGATAAATGATAATTTTATGTGCACATTAAGATTAAAGAAAAAAAGAAGTACTAAAAATACGATCAAACATCGAGGGTTGATGCACTCCCGGAGGACATATAAGAAAATTCTCAATCTAGTCTAAAAATTAAAAGTAGCTCATAAAATTTAAGTAGACTAGAATAAAAGAATATCAAATGTGTGCCTGCAAGTCAAATCATTTTGTTTTGCTTCTTGTTTTTTTTTTACTTTGTTTTAATCAAATAATTTGTTTTTTAATATGAAGTTACAATTAGGGCGGTTAAACAAGTCAAGTTTGAACATTTTTTAAATCTCGTTTACGTGTAAATAGTTAAACAAGCCAGCTCGTTNTGTTAAATAAGTCAAGTTTGAACATTTTTTAAACCTCGTTTACGTGTAAATAGTTAAACGAGCCAGCTCGTTTATGTGTAAATTCAGTTCAATTTAGATTCGAATTCAACTCGATTAACACCCCTAGTTACAACACAAATTTTGAACAGATGTAATTATGTTTAAATCATAGATGTATGATTTGATTTTAAATCTTATGGATCAAATAAAATAATTATACTCTAAAAAAATTAGTAAAGTAATAACAGAGACGAGCTGTAAAAAATTACAACTCAACCCTTAGGATTTTTGTCCTTTAAAGGTTAGTCACCCTTATTCCTTAAGAGACATATTCTAAACCCGCTCGGATTACGATGGACATAATCTAATGTTTAGATAAATAGTAATTCCATGTACATCAAATTTGTGCACTAAAAATGTGTACTAAATTACTGTCAATTGTTGGATAGTAGTAGGTCCTACTGATTCAACAACAAATAATGATTTGATGCACAAATGTGAAGTGCATAGCATTACTCTGGATAAATTATTCTGTCATTAAATTAAATTAAATTAAATTACATCAAAATACATTTAATGATATTAAATAAGACAATTATTTTCATGTCCATATGTCAGGCCTAGACCCAAGACCTAGCCCAAATATAATTATTAAAAATGTGGGTAATGGTGCCGGTGACTGAGGGTGACAATGGCAACGAGTACTGGTGGTTGCTAATGGACAATACTCGTATTTGATAAATAACATATACACTTGTGTGATCCATGTATTTATTACAATTATTAACATATATTTATTTTATTAGCAATGCAGTACATACATTGTACGTGAATAATTTTCGTACACAAAAATTAATAAAACATATTAAGTATATGTGTATTTGAATTAAATATTATTTCAAATTTATCAAACTTAATGTTTCATTACTCATATTCTATTATAAGATTATAAAAAAATTGTATATTTCCAAAATTCTTTGTTTTAACTATAAAAAATAAAATAAAAAAAGAAATAATTACAGTTATATTTTTTTTTATAAGAAATTGTGATTGAGATTGATTTTTTTAGTGATGTTTGAGAAATTAAATTTCTTCAAATTGATTTGATTAGAATTTTACTTATAATTACTTGAATAAAATAAAAACAATTGTCAATATACTAATAACATTAGAACCTTATTGTAATTAGGAATTAGTTAGGTCAATTGAGATAAGATTTAATATATTACTATGTAATACAACATATATTATCAAATATATTAAAATTCTAAAAAATTAAAATTTTATTTAAAAATACACTACAATATCTATTTTATATCAAATTGTAATACATCTTAAAAAATTTACTGTGATTTAAGAATTATATTGATGTAACGCAAATTGATTTAAAAAAATTATATAGACGATTAATTTTTACCTTAAAAATAAAAGGGTTAAACTTTTCAATCAAAAAGAAAATACACATAATGTTATCTTTGCATATGAAATGAGTAATATTAGTTTAATGAAATTTTTAAATGTTTTTTAAACACTTTATAGAAAATATAATGATGCATCAATTTTTTTATAAAAACTAATATTTTATACATAGAATAAATAATTAAAAGAGATGTTATAAATAATTTGGGAATTTAAAAATATAAGTATATGATAGTAATTAAGATATTTAATTTGAAATAATAGAGTGGTCTTACAATCTTATATTAGGGTAAAATAAAGATTCAAAAGTTTTTTATTTTAACGTAATTTTATTAATAGTATAGATAAATGACTATACTACCCATTACTTTATACCCATGTTTGTTTAATTGCTACCCATGTTTGTTTAATTACAGGGAAGAGTAATTAAATGGTTGAGATGCAATGTTTTATTTATGATATTTTATTAGAGATAGAAGAGTCATTTGACGTAGTTAACCTAGAATAATATATGAAACCTACGTCCCTGAGTTTGCCCAAATTGCATGTATGTGAATTTAATACACCAGGTCACTTACAAATCATGATATAAATCACGGGTTTAAAAATACTAATCAATCACGAGATTATGAGGTTTAACAAACTATTTTTCTTAAACATCCTTCTCTCTTTATCTCTCTCTCTCTTTCTTATTGATTCGACGATTTTAATTGAACTTTCATTCATTTTACAACTCTAAAACTCTCATATCTTATATAACTCTTTTTTTTCTCTCTCTCTCTCTCACACACACACTCTATCTCATACACCCAACTCTTATACATATATAACTCTTTCTCTCTTTCAGACATTTTAAACACACTCTCTCTTATCTCTCATACTCTCTCTCTCTCTCTATATATATATGTCATACTCTTTCTCTCTTAACATTGTTTGTCTTGACGATTCTAATTGGACTTCTTTATTCAAAAAAATTCAAAGCTAAGCTAATCATCAATAAAAAAAACAAGTGATACCAATTGTATCGAAAAAAAATTAGAATCAAGCTAATCACCAATAAAAAAAAAATAAATGATACCAATTGCACCACAAAAAAAAGAAAATCAGAGTCAAGCTAATCACCAATAAAAAAATAAAAATAAATGATATCAATTGTACGAAAAAAAACTAAAAAATTCAAAGTCAAGCTAATTACCAATATAAAAAATAAGTGAAACCAATTGTAAAAAAAAAAATATTCGAAACCAACAATAACATATTTTTCCTTATTTGCGTCACTTTCCCCTTGCTAATGTTCATATTTTTTTTGAATACATGAATAGTGCAAAATAGATATGAAACGACAAAAAGTCAATTAAATCAATTATTTTTAAGTGGTGAAATTTTAATTTTGTTGATTTGGTTTAAGTACAGCGTGAGAATATTTCTATAGAATTTGAGAAGTCATAGCGGCACAAAATTCAAATTAATTGTCCTCGCAACTACAAGTAAATCCGCTAGGCAGTGTTAGTTCGATTGAATTTTTTTTCTATTTTTTGAAAATTTGATTTGTAGTTCAACGTGATTAATTTGTTTGATTGGATTCAATGATTTAATTGTGTATTCTTAATGATTAAAACTAGACAACTTATTTATTAGATTTAGCCCGAGGTTGAAAAAATAAACACGTATTTTGTGGAAAGAAGAGCTGTTATGAAAAAATTTATGGCATGATAATTTTATAATGGTGTTAATTTAAATTCATGAGAATTC